TTTTCCTTAGTAACCGAAAACGCCCGGATCCGAGAGTAACCACTATCCACCAACGAACGTATTTACAAATACTATTCACCCCCGCCCACATGAAACCAACACAACCTGGCGATATGTCAGTTTTGTAATAACCTTACAGGTTAGATTCGTTGAGAAAATTTGTCTTTCATACAAACTTGCTGGGCTAATTCAAACCGTATAGAAAACCTTTGGCTATAATGATTTTAATACTTGGTGGGAAATACTTTATACTGATACATGTTTTCAATCTACTAAGAGTTATTGACTATAGAAAAGACCCTCTTTAAAATAACAGGTCATCATAAGTTTAAAAACATACAGATCCATAAATTATTCATTAGTTTCTATTGATTTCAGGTTGTCATCTTTGATAGAGTGTGGTGTTTCGAAAATAATGCTGCTGTAGGTTTATTTAACTAAAAAAATATATCTTTGTATTGCTTCCAGTATCCAGTATCTATTTTCTTACCCCTTGCCCTTATACGTTGATTTATATTACAACTCGAATGTGAATAGTTTGTATCTCGGTCAAAATTTTCAGTAGGCTACAAACCGTTTATCCGCTAAGAATAACCCTTTCACAATCAGATTTGTTTGACTTGATACGGGAATGAAAAGGCTTGTGCACACGGTAAGGTGGTGAAAGAATAATCAGAAATATTCAGCAACCAACCACATATGTCGGAAGCAAAAACAGGAGGATGTCTCTGTCGTAGACATTGTTGGGTGGTATAATTTGCCTGTCATAGTATCATATGAAATCTGACTTGAAATCTAATGAAAAAATAAATCACTGTATTACTTAAAGGAGCTCAATCGCTAACATTTGGGACCTAGAAATTGACATATAATACTGTAGTATAAATGTATAAAAACTGAATTACATTCAATGGTTTCCGTTTTTACTCCAATTTCAAATCAGTTATGTTCGGCGAAATAAGCCAGCAGTCTCAAGCGAGTGCAAATTTCTAGCGTCTGGTTATTCCAGTCTACATACGCCGTTTGATTTGGTGCAATGTGTCTAGCCTCGTCCCTCGAGTCTCTTGATACAACTGGGGCTGAAGCGCATTATGGTACACGATTCGTGTACCAATGGTAAAATGTTTATTTTGTCTTAAATATTGGATATCAAAAGCCCATCTTTTTCCGGTAAGATCACAACATGAATGTTGATTTAATTTGACAAATAAATCGGGTTTTCAATGTTGAAGATTTTGGATGATATTGAGTTAGAGACTTAGCTACTTTAAGTAAAATGGGACATTCGACTGGTAAAACATCTCGTAGCGACAGTGTATATGGATAATCAAACAGTCCTGCGTACTGGGGCCTTCATTTTAATGCCCAAGAATGCCAATTATATTCTCGTTGTGAATCTATTGCTGAAAATATAAAGAGTAACCGGATCATAGATAAAAGTCAGCATTAATTATAGGTGATTCTGATTAAAAATCCAATTAATCAAATTCGCGATTCCTGGCTTGTTTGAAATTATTAAACGATAATGTTTGATCGTAGGTCTGACAAAATATCGATGTATCATGTTTTTCGTCTATATAAGGTCTTGTTTAACACCAAGGTATTGCTGTAACTAGATATGACACTTGACCCTGGGTTGTTAACGTTCATGTCATCCAACACAGCCCGTATATTTCCTGTTAAATTAATTTTTTATTGGTGGATCGGCTCGATGTAGCACGATTTATTTCTCTTCCATCTACTTCATTGCAAATTATCCGTCAAATATATAATAAACGGCTAGATGGGTCTGTAGATGAAACTTTGCGATCATATACCATATATAAAGTTTACATGGCGACTTCAGGTCAAATGATACTCGTCGATAGCAGACGTAAAAATAGAATACTCAAATGTTCATCATCCAATCAGCTTAGTTTATTGTGAGTGGGATTTCTGATAGAACGTCTTGGACCATAATCATATTAACGTGATTATCTTTGGCTTTTGCTTCCTCTTAAAAATGGCGGGAAATTATGCTTACAAATCGTTCTGTAATGATACGACAACGAACATCATCTAGTTTGGTGTAATTTACTTCAATCCTGGTTTCGTGCTTATTTATGATGGATTCCTGGTTATTATATCTTTCTCTTACAATTTCATTTTTCATTGAACACGATTCTTGGAATCCTGAAGGGTATCGAATGTGGGCTAGCGGTTTTTACAATCCCTTCGGATCATTGACACAGACAGCGATACCATTTGGTACTTTTACTTTGTGAAATTACGTGCTCGCTTCTGTTGACATTGGTTAATAAAACAAGATTATATAGGAACAAATTCACGCTTGGAGCACGCCGAAGTAAATGGTATAATTATTGTATCCAGATCGATTCTTCGATTTTAGAAATTGATGACACTATAGACTAGTTGAATTAGTGGAAGACGGGTGGCTAGTGCTTGCTATTATTCTGTCTGTATACTATAGTATGTAATTTTATCTGAATCGGCTCGTGTTAACAATAATATACAATTATTTTATATACGGTAGAATATTATATGGGTCTATCCCCAAGGGTACAATGGAAAGACCGAATAAGACTTTGCAAAATCTTTAATGGGATGACAATCCCGATACTGAATTTATAAAGCAGACATTATCGAAATCATTATAACGGCAACTGAATTATTTCATGTGGACCATTCATGCCTAGAACAATTCTGACAAGATCGGTGTGTGAATAGGGAAACTCTGTCTAAATTCTTTTTAGGACCGGAGTGAGAAATAAAATGAAGATGGGGTTTAACATCCTACTGTTCTACCCCGACTGTGTTAATGAAGACAGGGACCGAAGTGGGGATTAGAAAACTGTCTAATTCTTAGTTTCCGTGATTAATGGACACATTAGCATACATAGTGACTGGTCCACATCGAGAAACCTCACATAATACACTTTATGCCGAATCAGGATTCTCATCTTTATCGGTATTACGCCATGCTAATAAATTTATAATGTTTTATAAAATTGTAAATAGTATAACTTATAATTATCTTCGTTTTCTTATTCCCCTAATTAGCTCTACTAACAACCTTGTCAATTTACGTAATTTTCGATCAAATTAAACAATTGAAACTCTATCAAGGTTCATTTTCGCCTTATAACTTAAAAAAAAAGAGACTAACGTAGACAATTGAATTTAAAAAAAAGTTCATAATATGTCAACCTTAGTCTCCAAAATTAACAATTCATTCTCCCAACTCCAAATTATCCATTGCAATCTGTGTAACAGTAAAAGTAATTAGGATATAAGTTCCTGGTGCATTTTTATGAATATCTTCGATGTTCAAACTACACACCCTATCGATTTACCATTGATTATTATCAGTGCATTTTAGAAATATTACATCGAGAAATGGGGGTTAATATCAAATCGACATGAAAGGTCACTTTGGGACTAACACAATAATATGTAACAAGCTTATTTTAATAAATAGCTTGTGCGTATGGGGCCTTTAGGAGTGGGAGTAAACCGGGGAACCAAGTCACGTGTTCAAGCTTGAGATGTAAACCACACTACTTCAATCAGTGACCGACCTTATGAGATAAAGCACACGCGTTAGCCCCCCTCCCGGTTGTACGTGACAAGGAAAGTAGTGTCGCCTGTCCAGCCTCGTGGGTTTTCCCCGGGTTTTCCGGTTTCCTCCCACTGCTAAAGGCCCCTACGCGCACGCGAATTATTGAAATAAAATAAAAAACATATGTTAGTCCCGAAATGACCTAGTTTGTGTCAAGTGGACGTTAAACCCCATTTCTCTCTCTCTCCCTATCATAATATATTACTTGAAATTGTACATTTTTTATTATATATACACCATAGCCACAAGAAAGCGATTTTAATAGAAGCCTCGGCTTGTTTTTGTATCCTATTCTTTAAGCCTTTATATCTTCGAAATAAATACTGTTAAAATCAACTGCATATAACAAAATGAATATTCTTTATCCAAAAAGGGATATTAGTATGTCAGTAAGCCTAGTTGTCGTGTAAATTCGCTAAAATAGAGTTAAAATATGGGATTGATATCCGGAGTTCCAGAAAAAGAAAGAAAACAGCTGGCTCGTGTAAGTGGTAAAATAAACACACTGGATGCTCCCATTATTACGCATCGTCATTTTCAAACTTTAAGAATTTAAAAAAATTGATTGTCTGTATAGGTATGACCATTTCTGACAATAATGTATTTTATTTGTTTAGACTCAGCCTATATTTATCGTCAATATATCATATGTCCATTATTGACAAACATTGATTAACTTCAAATCTATAGTTTATTGCTTCACGTATGTGCCGACTAATTACAAAACCTTTGTTCATAGTGTTCGGCTCTATATTGAACCTAGGCATCTGGTACAATTTGATACATGGGGGAGTATTAATGGGCTTCCATTGATCATCAAACAAAGTGTTTATATCAACAGGTAGAAATGAATTCAACAAATGTCTTCATTAACGACAAACTCATCTGCCATTAGTCGGGTGTAAGAATTTCATTGTCGTTGATTGGTTCTTTTGCTGTATATAATAGTTCTTATATCGTTATGTTACAGGTCGAGGACGGGCGCCAATGCTTAATGTCAAAGGTGATAAACTACAACTAGAATCTCTCGATGTTTGAGATAATGAAGATTGCTACCAATAAAAAAAAGTGATCGTTCCCAATCAGATCGCCATTTGTTGTTGCTGTGGTCAACGCTCGCTAAGCTTTGACATTGCTCGGATACTTATCTGTCCACTTCTATACATTGAATATCCATTATTTAGCATCACGGTAAGTCCATGTTACTTTATATCTACATAAGAGTACATAGGAGAACTGATTGTTATTAACATGTAACTTTCGCTACAGCCTGCTCGTATAAAAATCAATAGAATTTCATATATATACTAATATTACTACTAGGTGGCCTACAATATCAGCTTGTATATTTTACTAGTAACACATAGCTCCATTCATACGGTGGAAATATTAATTTTATTTGCTGACTGGTTATAGAAGAAAATTTAATAATAATCCGTTATTTGTACAAGTGAACGTGGTATATCGTCGGGAAAATATCTAATTGTTTTTCTCTCGTTAATAAAGGTAAGTTTGATTATTTACAATTATCATCATATATTCCAGTATTAAAATATAGATTGCCAGTTTTATATTGTCATTTTGTTTATAATGCGTGTACATAGAAAACTTGTCATTCAGTCGCTAAGATGTCATAATGAAATCACGACAGAGCATTACGATATGAAATTTTGTTATTTTACCATTTTATATTACATGGCCAGACACATTATTTTTTTTCTTTGAGTTAAGATTAATCCCAAATAATGATCCCCCACACGTTTAAGAGAAGTTCCCGGCGAGTTGGAAAAAGGGGGCGGGAGTGGGGGGGGGGGGGCTTTTCATCCCGAGTTTATGAGTCACTCGGGGGTTGATCACTTGGAAGTGTTAATCCCTTTTTAATACAAGTCTGTTTTCTTGAGGACGATAACTATGGAATTGAAGTCAAACAATTGAAATTAAAGTTTATAGAGTTATGAGATGTTTATTTTTATATAAAAGGAACTCGATCTTCAAGTTATCTTGACAGGCAAAATTAAAACGCCAACGTTAATAACCTGTTATGAATCGTTTTTGAAAAAGAAATTAATGATACAGATATTTAAAAGCATTATGTAAAGATGTTATTTAGTGGGTTATTCAATGTACTAAGCATTATTCTTTACTAGGGAAGAAATTAAAGAATGTAAACAAAATCTGATTAGCCAAATATGAATGCGCAGCAATATTTTCATGAATAACAGGTATTTTGTAAACAAAAGGCTTGGTATTAATGATAAACAATGTAAACATGGATGTCGTATCATAAAAAATGAAGGTGGAGTGTGGTGGCAATACATAGTTCATGCAGTACTTTATTTTTTGCACTATGATTACATTTATACGGACGGAGGTAAATGTTTCAAAGCTACCCGTATAGGATCTTCGATGTAAATGTTGCGCCCATATAACGACAAATAACAAATATAATTTTCATAACTTTACTCTTAATGTCAACAACAATATGAATTGTGACACAAAAAATCTCATATATGTCTTGACTTGCAATGGCCTTCAAAATTTTGAAGTACACAACCATCGACAGGATTGTAATATTGAATATGGGCCCTTATTTGTAAATAGACATATCTTTAGATGTGCAAAACACCTACAGGTCAAATTTCAAATTTTCCCTTTTTATAAATAAAAGTCGAGGAAATGTTCTGGACCATCTAGAGGTCACAATTTATTTCCGATTTGCGCTTATCGGGCCGTAACTTTTAGGATTATGGATCGTGATTGTACGAGGTAGCAATTTTTATCTTATTTTCAAAATCGTTCAAATATATCACAGTTACCCCATAATTATGGTTGAGTCCGAATTTCCGGAAAATCGGACTGAAACTTCCCGTCAAATGGCCGCTACCCTTTACGCAAATAGTGTAAAAGTATGTAATACCAAGGTTGTAACAATTTTTATCCGATTTCCATGAAACTTAAAACGAGTGTTGGCTGAATTCAAGTCTGTTGCCCATCGGACCTTCCGTTCTAGAGTTATGCCAAATGCCTTTTACGCCAAATGTGAAATATGAATGAAGTTTGTGGACCTGCCAGAGGCGACAATTTTTCCCCGATTTATGAGATAAAAATTAAACTACGTGTTGAGGATCAAAAGTTCTTGGATGAGTTTCACTTTGGTACGCATGGAATCTTCCATTGTAGAGTTTTAGCCCCTTCTATAGAATGTTAGAAAAACTCTACCCCGTCGTGTTTCAATTAGCCAATCTGTCATAGATACAACGGAAATGGAATGGAATGAAATATTCGACTGCTCAGTAAAGTTAACTAATCGCGACCCTCGCAACTGGGTGGGAGGGGGGGGGGGTCTTAACCCAGGGGGATCTACTTCTAGAAGTCTCACTTCTATGTTAAAATCGGGTCTCTTCCAATTACGTCACCGTATCTAACTGAATGGTTGCTTGCGTGCAATAACCTGGAGAAAAGGGTACTTGCGGCCAAATTATTGGCGGGGGGGGGGGCACTCCGCCGGGTCTGGGTCGTGCTAATAATTTTGAACCCTGAGCATTGTCCATATCTAGACTAGTGTAATTGGAGTGGGGAATATCTGTAATTTTTTAATAAGGTACAGAATACACTAGTATAAAGCACAACATAACTCGGGGGTTGGGCTATACTGTATGCCGAAGACGCAGCCAGGTTTTGAATGCATCTGTCTCTTTCATCAGACTATATCACGGACACAACTAGGCTTTGAGGGCATTAATTTATTTCAACAGACAATGACAGACACAGGTACGCATTTAGTCTCTATCATACAGACTAAATGACATGTGCATCATGTCGCCTCCGATAAACCGGTTCTAGTTCACATCATTAATAATGTTGGACTGGATGATATTGCGCCCCACTAAATGTCTATGAAGGTAAACAAATATTTTGAGAATAAAGTTTTATAAACTGATTTGATAAAATTAATATACCTGTGCATATCATTTTTTTTACATACAATGTATTGTGTGTCTTGTTCGTGTTTTTTTCTTATGTGTGGAGCGGTCCTTCTTATCAAGAAATGCTTATACTATATGCTATATATTTGAAGAAAACTTAAATGGAATAATACATTGTGTATAAAAATTCAAGTTAATGGATTGGCCATAAATAATTGACTGTGAAACCTCATACCAGAACATTTAAGCGACATGATAAATGATGACCCATTTTCTGTGTTATGTGGGCAATCAGTGGAATAGATGTAATTCCAATGACTTCTAAACATTGACGTTCGCTTTTCGCCGACTTAAATACTTAAGGGCAGTGCGGGTGGAATGAACTTAGTCAACCTCAGTCCATTCTAAAATGAGAAAGATTCGTCAATAGGAAGTTTGTAGATAAGGAATACGTGTCTTTAGTCAAACTAAAAGGATCGTAAAGTTGAAACTAATTAACACGGGAAACATTTTCCACGTTCTTTCTACATGATTGCTGCTTCCTTAACCTTGAGGAAAACCCCACTAAACGCATTTTAAAATTACCAGGGCATAAGACCTGATCAGTTGATGAAATTGATATACTGGTTTAGCTGAATTTGTAAGGAAAGTATGAATGTAAAAGTGATGGGAATTATTAGATTGGTCCACCACGCTGATCGTCTGCCACGCTAATCACGCAACCATTTTGATTTGGATAAAAATAAAAACTTCTATTGATTACGTATATCCTCGTCCGGATTTCTAGTTATTTGTCATGTGTGGTACCCCCCCCCCCCCATGTGGCTATTAAATCTTGGAGTTATTTTGAGCATGACCTGCGAAACAGCTGTTGGTGCCTGGCAACTATATTTCTGAGAGATCTGTTACCGATGAGACCAATGCCCCTTTTGACTACACTAACGTGCGCCAAGCATCAACTGTATAGTTGCAAAGAAATGTTACGTGACGTATTTAGTCAATACATTATGTCAAATACGTATATAATGATGGTGGGTTTATTATGACTTATGTAATGGTTAAATGAGTCATTAGTATATAATAATATAACACTTAACTAATTATTTTGACTTGTTTTCTTGTGAGTCATTTTGTTTACCTTAAATTCAATTCAGTCAAACAGTATAATAATTATGATTAACCTGGTTTAGTTCCCAGTTTCCTGCAAGAAAGCAAGATTTTAATTTGGCAGAACGACAGATTTCAGTGTCGAATTAGATCCTTGTTATTCTGCAGTAGAGAATTACTACAATAAATTTTAAAAATACCATACCGCCAGCGCATAATTTTAAAAAGAACAACGAACAATTTATTTTTTTCGGTATGTTCACCAAGATCTCCCTAGCTAGACAACAAAATCAATATCTTTCCATTAATTAGGAAAATTTACAGGGAATAAATAATTAGACCAAATATGAATAACAGCTTATTATTATATTCCAACTGACTTTTCTCGCGGTATAAAAGACAATTGAGACAGATTTATGGATTCAGATATAAGCATACACCCAGGGCACGTATCAGTATAGGGTATATTAAAAGGGGAAGAAGAGTTAGTAGGAACTACCGTATATAGTACCCGTTTCGGGTTTCAAACCGCCTTCGCTTCAGATTCTATAAGATTAATTTAAAGGAGCTAAATTGTTAATATTTGGGACCTACAAATTGACACAAATGGGTCGCAACGTATATAATAATGTAATATGAATGTATAAAAAAATGATTTACATTCAATCGTTTCCGTTTTTACTCTAATTTCAAAACAGTTATGTTCGGCGAAATACGCCAGAAGCCTCAATCGAATGGCAATCTCTAGCGTCTGGTTATTCCAGTCTACACCAATAATATTTATTGCGCATGCTGTTCAGAGAAGAATATGGGGTTACCGTTTGACATGACTTGTGGAATATGTCTAACCTCGTTCTTCCGAGTCGCTTGTTACAAAATGCGCTGAAACGCATTATGGTACACGATTCGTGTACCAATCGTAAAATGTTTATTTTGTTTTAAATATTGAATATCAGATGCCCATCATTTTCCGGTAAGATCGCAACACCAATGTTGATTAAAAACTGACAAATAATTCGTGTTTTCATTGTCGAATGTTTTGGATGATATTGAGCTACTTTAAACTATAAAATGTCTCTGTTTCATTGATTTTTAAAGTTTGACACTGTACTAATTAGAACGACAAAATTTAATTTTATATACCTATCTTATCATAATTTGTCTAGTTCGGGCATTCAAATCACCTCAGTCACATATTTCTGGAAATCTTAAAATAATATTTTGCCAACCAGTAAGTGGGCATACAGAATATCACCCTGGTGGTTTGAGTTGTCGCGATTCTGCTTGTAAAATTACTTCCAGATTTTATATTAATGATCAAACTTCTTTGCATATAATATGCCAACTTTGACTTGGACGCAAGGGTTATATTTGATGTTTAATACCATTATTGTACAGAGGCAATGCATCATATATATACAAAACTCCAAACACTTTATCAATAAATCACAAATGACACGCAAGGTGCCCTTT